ACTACCGTGTTTCCCCGAAAATAAGACATCCTCTGAAAATAAGACCTAGCAGAGGTTTTGCTGAATTGCTAAATATAAGGCCTCCCCCCGAAAGTAAGATCTAGCAAATTATTTTTACTGGTAACGGTCATCGACAGATGGTTGAAAGTGGCCGTTGGCTTTTTGAAAGTACAGCCACTGATTGGTCAGCAGACAATCACGCCACACGGCATGATTTGCATAAGACTATGGCTTGGGAATCACAGATTTGCATAACGTTACGGCTGGTGATCGCTAATTGGTCGGCTGGCAATCACACCACATCACATTTGCATGGTGCTACGGTTCAGTAAGCACTAATTGGTCATCGAGCCCGATGTCGATGCTATAAAAAGGTTAAGTTGAAGCGCCTGTGGGAAGTCCACTCCAGCACGGGAACTTCGTAAGTTCATTGCTGAGGCGTGATTGTAAGGCAATCAATGGCCTAGCCCGGTCTTGGATCAGGCGATGATAGCTATTTTTGTGAATGGTCGCTACTTGCTTGGCACTTGGGCTGGGGGATTTGTCTCCCATACATTAGGGGTGCTGTATAGGAGTAGTCGTACAGGATGCCAGATCGGTTTTACTGGTTGACGCGTTCAATAAACTTTATCGATGACTGTTTTATTTAAGTTCAGTTCGATACGACCAGATAGCACTCTCGTCTAAGTTCAACTTGGGAATTTTTTTGTTCAAAAATAAATGTGAATTCTTCTTCATGGAAAAATAATACATCCCCTGAAAATAAGACCTAGCGCATCTTTCAGAGCAAAAATTAATACAGTCGACCCCCCTATAAGATAGAGATACGTTCCATTCTCTAGGAATCCGCTTTCTTACGAATCCTTCCAATCACAACCCGACACGTATCAAGTTTACGGACTACGGCTGTTTGAAAGATTTTCTTCCATAAAATTAATCGATTCTAGACTAATCCGACTCAACATTTCCAAAATACGTATATATTTTTTGGGAATAATCCGTATAAACTACGCTATAAACAAAAAATTGTAGGATTACTTACCGAGTGTCACCATTCGACATNAAGTTTTTTAATAAAATATGATAACAGATGGCGCCAGCGAATTTTTCGATGACCCGAAAATAAAGCGAGAGGCGACCCCTATTGGAAACCGCGGCAAATGTTGCCGTCTTAAATAACGCGTTAGTATTTAAAAAGGCAGGCGACTCGTTAATTTGGAATTTTTACCGTAATTTTTCGAAAGAAAAAATTAACGCCAAAGCCCAATGGGAAAAACATTAATTAAACGATAATTACGCGTTGGAATTATAGGAAAACACTTTTATAACGGGAGTAAATTAAACCGGGTTTGATAAATCCGGTAACGGCGTGGCGCCATCTGGTAACGACGGGAGGAAAAGGCCGCTAGGAGCGCCACTTTCGTCGGAGGCGCGGTTAAGTCGAGCGGCGGAAGCGGCGCGACGGCAGTCGACGGCGCAAATGGGGACGAAAGCGAACGTCGGACGCGTTGACAGATTCTTAGATGAGTAACTATTAATTTACAAAACAGTCTCTATAATATAATTTATCACTTTATGAGATATTAATCCGCATTTAACTACAGACGCGAAGAAATCGAGTCGGATAACCGGGAGAGTGACGACGGCGGCGGCGGCCGCACGGTTAATGCCAAAGGCGGCGGAGCAGCGGCGTGGACGGCCAGCGACGACGGAAGTAACCGGCGAGTCCCGAAATGCGGAAGGTGCAGGAACCACGGCCTAAGAAACGCTTACAAGGGCCACAAGCGCTACTGCCGCTACCGCTCTTGCCAGTGCTGTCGCTGCATGATTCTGTCGGAGAAGAAGACCGTTCTGGCCAAACAGGTGGCCGCCAAGAGGGCCCAAGTCCGAGACCAGCCCGCCGCTCCAGAACAGCCCACGCCCGTAAACCGCCCCTTAACGCCCGTCTTGGACGCCCCCGAAAGCGCTTCCACTTCCCGACTCAGCTTCAACCCGGTGCTCAACGGTAATTACCACTTTTTCTTATATTTACTATTATCTCTACTGTCAAATACTACTTCCGCCTCTTATTCGCTACCGCCGAACCGTTTATATCGCTCGAGTATTCTATATTTTTAAGAGAAGCGAACTCTAGCGAATTAATAGAGAGGTTGAGGCGCACGTTTTAAACGTGTAAACGTGTACGTGTGACGTTCGGCGCCGCTTTCCCGTAAGCCTAAAAGTTTGACAATGGTGTTTGGATAGTCGGTGGAATCACGCTCGACATTCCAAACACCATCGTCAAACTTCTAGGCTTACGGGAAAGCGGCACCGAACGTCCGTCCTACACGTTTACACGTTTAAAACGTCTGCCTCAACCCCTCTATTATTTACCATTGTAGGTTGAACACTTTCTAATTCTAACAGACCACAGATTTTATACCCATAGCAGCCGCCATTACGTAGTTCGCGCTAATACCGCTAGATGTCAGATCTATCGTTGGCACAAGCGAATTAATAATATCCAATTTTCGTGAAATAAAGCAGTTCACTGATTCTTCTTTTCTATACAAAACAGATCCTAAGCCGGTTGTAACGTATATATCATATACCACATTTCATGTAAATTTTCTCAAAAGCTTTCCACATGACTTTCAAATGTTCATTACGTATTGTTAAAATTATACATTGCGTGTCTTTCGATTTAAAATCTTTAGCGCTTTTTTTTAACACTTTCCGCCCTGTGGGCACTAAGAGAGCCTCTTTTTGCAAGCCCATTATGGGTTCGGCCAGGACCACAATGGGGTGGAGAGAGACGGGGCCCGACATATCCGAACGGACCACCTCCCGAAAAATTTCTGGGGATTCTTTGACCCGTCCGGATTTGATCCCGGGTTCTCAGAGTGGTAGGCTGCCACCTTGACCGCTCGGCCATCCTGCCTATTATTTTGCGCTTCCTCTGGGTTATCAAAGCCAGTATCAATTACCTCCAAACAATTATTTTCTTCAATTAGCTCTTTGAAGACGAATAGACCAGCCGTTAAAATTATCTTCATTCAAACGAACAATATGAAAATCATCTATTCTAGCAGGTATTATCTTCGTTGGTTAAGTTAGTTCTCAGTCACATATAATTCTTAAATTAACAATGTAAGTTTCTCCTTTCTACTTATTACATTAGATTATAGGTACTCATACCTTGATTACAATGTACGAACTTCTCTTAATCACTTAAGATGACCAAAATCTTCTTACAACGAGCCTATTTTTCGTTGAGTTCAAGTTATCCTATTCCTTGAATATCCTGAGCTCATAGCCTGTTAATTACCACAATAGAAGCAGAAATTAAAAAAAAAAAACAGAATAATTTTATTAAATATGGCTGCCAGGCAGAAAGCCTGTAACTAACAGTCATCGGACTTGAATGACCTACAGCACACGTCGTTAGAGGTGAATAATTCTGTTTGGATCCATTCCGGTCTCGGAACTACTAGAAATAATTCCACACCGGGTGTCGAGACAATTCCGGTCAGAATCACTAACGTGTTCTTCATTTTGTACATTTATAAATACAGCTTTTCACGAAACGGTGAACTCTATCTGGATTTGAACTTGAACTAAAGAAAATGTTCCACGAGTTTTTTTAGGAATAATGAAATTATCTTTGATTAGTTTGAATTTACAAAAATATTTAAAAATTTATGTTTTATCAAAATTCGTAATTATTTCTTTTTATTAGTAACTAGCAGATATGTCCGGCATTTCCCGGCTAAAAGTAAGAAGTCTAAACGGCTAAACATTAAAATGAAAACTATATTAAAAGTTTGGTTATTTTAGTGTACCTTTGTTATGTTTATCACAAAGTATCAAAAAAGTCAAAACAAGAAAAGAGTGGGGTGTCCGGATTTCACGAAAGTCTACATTTTTCTCACAGTCCCAGAGAATGATTATGTTAAATTTGGAGCAGATCGACCAAAAAGGTAAAAACAGAAAGATACAAACATTCTACTATAAATAAATAAATATATATATATATGTAATTTGTGTGTGTGTATGTATATATGACAATGTTCTGATAATAAATTTTGCTTGAAAGAAAAAAAGAAATTACTTTTATACCCATTACATTCATATATTTTTCCTAATAAGGCATGAGAAGTCAATATTGAACATATAATTAAACTAACTCAGTATGCTTAAAACTCACCTAATTATGGGAAAGTAGTAGTAATAAAATACTGGACCAAATATCCCAATACAAAAAACAAAACTACAAAAATCTGACTATTTTTGGAACTGGCTAGTTTTGAATTTGGTGGAATTTTTTGGAGTAAAACTGTAGTTCACATTGTGGTCACTTAGTTTTGTTTACCATGGCATACATACACATATGATGCCAGCTCCAGTGCAAATTAAATTATTATTTTTCAATTATTTGAACAACTAAATAATGAAAGTTTCAACTTGCTAACTTTTGAATTAGTAAAATATAAAAGCCAAATGACTGCAGGATTAAATTGGGCTACTTCACTGCTATTATTTTAATTAAAATCTAAATAATTTGATACCAGAGTTAAATACATAATTTTTGTAAAGTTTGATATGAGAAAAGTATTATCTATTTTCTTCTTAACATTCATAAGTCATTGTTCCAACTGAATTCAAACATTTGACATATCTAACAATATTTCAGAATAACATGAAGTTCAAAAATGTATCTTTTGAAATATTGTTTGATACATCAATCGTTGTTTGAATTCAGTGGAACAGTGACTTAATACATTATGTAGCTATCCTAAAACAGGACAAATGTTCCTTTGTAAAAAATTTAAACAGTTGGCTACGTGAAAGCAAGCATTTTATAAAGACATTAATATGGAACAGAAAACACACAAGGTAATATTTAACATTAAATTATTTATAAAGATAGAATTTCAATAAATTTAACACACACACCACTCCACAGTGGAATATATGTACAACAGACACAGAACCAACTTCCAATGCATATAATGCAAACACAAAATGGTTACCCAATGAAATGTTAATGTTCCATCAGGTAACCATTCAGTCACACCTGAAGAACAACTCTGAAGGTGTTGGAAAACATTTGTGCAGTGTTCATTTTTTATATTATATGCACTGGAAGTTGATTCTGTGTTTGTTGTTCAATAAATTTATTTTGTTAATATCAGAGTACCAGATAATTTATGTTAAAAATGTATCTTAATTTTCTGTTTAGATACTTTTTACTCAAACTATTATGGCATAGTGAAAAACTTATATAGAANGGTATTGAACGGTGACCAAATGCAAAATTGGGGCTGATAAGAGGAAACATTGCGTTTAATGGTTTCCAGATGATGAGAACAATGTACAGTAAGGGCACAAAGTGTGAGATTCATAGAAAAGTTTTCCTAAGAATATTTCCAATCCTTTTCTCACACAAGAGAAAATGGGTTAGAGGCGTTGGGTATAACTTTATGGAACAAAGAGGGCGGTAGATCGAAAAAGTTTGAGAATCACTGGTCTAGTCCAACAGAAATTCCGATGGAACATAATGGTTATGAGGAACCATCTAGTCAGGTACATCGAGTGACGTCACCGGGCCCGAGGAAAATTTACATGGGCCCACTATATAAATTATTTAAAAGTTTATTTTGAGTCTTTATAGATATATTGTATTACTATTTTTTACAAAATATAGACAATAGTTATTGTTAAGCATTCTATATTACAATAGCTCGTGAAAAAACAAATTGTGGGATAACGTCCGAGCCCTGTGATCCCGAGGAATTTTACTCCATCATTCTTCTCCTCTCGTCGGCTCTGCATCTAGTCTAACTGTTCCGACGGAACTGTCTAGTCAAATAGAGTAAACAGTTCCGACGAACAGTTCTATCAGAATAATTTCGCACTCGAATCAGTTCTAACAATTCCAGTTCCAGAAGCGGAATTGGATTTCCCATCTCCACATACCGTTACATGAAACATCATATAACGGCTAACTATAACAAAATAACTTATAGTACAATTAATTAAACCCGTTAACATTTTGATTTTCCTTTCATTTTCGCTTTTTATAAATCTTTACTTCTGAAATAAGGTCATCCTGACATAAACACAGAAAAGAAAGTGATTAAGCAATTCTATAGGCTTTTCAATACTGTAATTGTCTAAATCGTTCAATTAAATTTATGTATAAAATGAATTTAGAAAGACAATTCAACATATTTTAATCTTAAATAAGTTCATTCATTCGTTATGTATATACAACGTTAATATTTCGCCTTAAATATAAATAAAACTTCCTCTGAAAAGAAAAAGATTAATTAGATTTTTTATTATAATAGTTGTATATTTTTTAACATTTCATAGATTAATCGTATGTTAAAACAATAAATAATTTTGTATTATTTGCGAATTTACTTGATATATCATTCACAGCAGCTGCGCCTTTACAACAAAGTATGTAAGCTAGACTAATTCTTTTTCATCAAACTTTGTTACTGCCCTAATGAAAATTGGAGTAGGCCTACTGTTTCTAATAAGAAATTATATAGTATTAATTAAACAGCAATGTTTACAATGTTTCAATATAATCTAAACTTAAAACGAAGCTAGGAAAAAAGATGGACGTTTACTCCATATATCATCTCAGCATGTAAAATTTTATACAGTCTTCCAATAATGCATTCATCAACTTGCTCCAAATGAAAGCCGATAATAGTTTGTTATCTACTTCTAATCTTTCTATTCCTTCCCTTAGGTTACGGCCCAGGTTGAATAGAAGCGATACCGGAAGAAATGATGGACAACAGATCCCGTCCACCGACTATGTGTCTTCGTCAACTATGCCTGCCTTTGAACCTATTCCTCATGATCATGACTCCTGCAAAAGAGTGGTCATCAATGTCAGCGGACTAAAGTTTGAAACACAATTAAGAACTCTTAATCAATTTCCGGACACTCTTTTGGGAGATCCTACTCGACGGATTCGCTACTTCGATCCAATAAAGAATGAATATTTTTTCGATAGAAACAGGCCGAGCTTTGATGCCATCTTATATTATTATCAAAGTGGAGGAAGATTAAGCAGACCCGTCAATGTTCCTTTAAACGTATTTTCAGAAGAGATAAAATTCTATGAATTGGGTGAAGCAGCTTTTAATAAATTTCGCGAAGATGAGGGCTTTATAAAAGAGAAAGAGAAGGCACTTCCCAAAACCGAGTGTAATAAAAAATTATGGATGATATTCGAATATCCGGAGAGTTCACAATGTGCCAGAATCATAGCTATTATCTCAGTAATAGTTATTATCACGTCCATATTCATATTTTGTATAGAAACATTACCAGCATTCAAACATTACCGTCTATTAAATACCACAGATAATATGATAATGGTTGTGGAAGTAGAAGCGCCGAAAACATCTGATCCATTCTTCATCATTGAAACGTGTTGTATAATTTGGTTTACATTTGAGCTGTTAATAAGATTCATAACTTGTCCTAACAAAATTGCCTTTTTTAAAGATCCAATGAATACTATTGATTTAGTTGCTATAATTCCATATTTCATGTCGTTAGCTACAATGGAAACAGTAGCAGAAAATTCAAATACACGAGAAATCCAATTTCCGCTTTCTCTTGATGAAAGAAATGGAAGTGATCACACAAAATCTATAGCCACATTAAGAGTTATTCGTCTTGTTAGGGTTTTTCGAATATTCAAATTATCAAGACATTCTAAAGGTCTACAAATTCTTGGAAACACGATAAAAGCTAGTTTAAAAGAACTAGGAATGCTCCTATTTTTCTTACTAATCGCTGTGATATTATTTTCTACTGCTGTTTATTTTTCTGAAGCACATTACGAAGCTTCTTATTTTAAAAGCATTCCCGATGCCTTTTGGGTAATTCTTACTATGACGACAGTAGGTTCTGGGGATGTTATGCCTTTGGGATTAATGGGCAAGATTGTTGGCACTGTGTGTGCTCTTGCTGGAGTTCTGACAATTGCACTTCCAGTACCCTTTATTGTTTCCAATTTTAACTATTTTTACAGCAGAGAATTTGATCAAGAAGAAATGATGTCAGAAAATTTTACTCACGTTACAAGCTGTCCCTACCTACCCGGAATAGTTGGAATTAAATTAAAACGAGAATCAATAGCAGATTCGATATCGGACATCAGTGGTTCAAAAGATGCGAGTTATTTCAATGAGAAATCCCAAAAAGTACCTAATGGTGTACTTCCGCACAATAATCAAACTTCGGACGCATTTGAATCAAATGTCTGATATCATCATTACTAAGATGCTTTTGCCATGCATTATTTATTTTTCCTGCTTAAGCAAATTTAACCAAAAATTGATTCAGCTATTAATTTATTAATGTCGTCATCAATATTTGCAATAAAAAATGATGCTATTCGGAGATGTGAAAAAAGTAAGCTTCATAATAAAACATCTGGAATAACGCATTGTTAATGAATAATAAAAATGTTTTGAATTGAATTTTATTTATAATTCAGCTTGAATGCAAAGAGTATAAAAACGATGTAGAAAATTATTACATACAGAGAAGAAATTACTCTTTAATTTTTACAAACAAAAATGTGAAGATTCCTAAATAAAAATATAGAATGTGTTTAAAAAAAAGAAAAGTATTTTATAATATTTTGGCATAAGTAAATTCAACTGAAGATATAATGCATCAATAGATCATTTTTTAAAGAACGATAAGGCAGTTTTGTTTTTTAAATGATGAAATCTTATGTAAATACGCGTGTTCATTTATGAATTTATTAGCATATTTCCGACTTCATACTAATATACTCCATAACCCATTAAAATAAACTAATTGCTATTCATTATTGGAAATATCTAAATATACTAATATTCCATTAACAACTGTATTGCTTTTAAGCAAGTCTACTTAAATTACGAAATATTTACAAAATTAAAAAAAAAAAAAACAAGCTCGTTATTAAAACATCTATATGAAACAGATTAAGTCTACCAGATGTTTATAAGATCTAAATATTACTCATGAATATCATGAATATTACTCTCAAGAAAAATAACTTAACTTTTTGTGTATAACTAAAAAATATAATACATCAAATTTAATATTGAACTCTTGAAAGAATACATAAATTATTCATGCTATTTGCGAACAAATAGCTGGGATCGATATAGACCGAAATAGATATTAATCAAAATGAATATTTTCTCTTCATTTTGAGTTACATGTAATTTAATTAATTTGAATTTATAACATATTTCTAATGTTATTTAATTCTTCAATCATAAGAAATCGTATATTGAAAGTGTTTCTGTTTCTGATCATTTAAAAACAGAAATGAATTTAAAACTGATAACACTTAAAAATTTTTGTTTTTACCAGGATCATTATTTATCGCAAACAAAAATCTTACATGAATAATAAAAGTTATGATGACTTATTTACTGCTATTTAAATATTGAAAGTACTCCTCTTATTCCTCTTCATATTGGAAGACATGACAGAAAAATATAGAAATGTACATCTATGTTGCTTTTGTGATAACTTTATGAAGCCGCCCAACGAATAAATCTGCCTGCCATAAATATTCATCAGATAAATTCTGCCTGCTATAAGTACTCATAAAATTGACATTATATCCTGTAGCAGCTAAAAGCGTAAAAATTCAATCACACCATTTCCGATTCCGGTTTAAAAATTCGCGATATTTTCTGTCTTGCTCTTCAAACAGAGCAATCATGGATCGAATCCAACCTAATCTTTTTAATTTATTGAAATTCATAGAGATCTGACTTATCTGTTATTCAGACAGGCCTAGGATAAATTGTTTACTTAATGAATTTGTAAATCTACTACTTTGTCACGTTTTTATATTTACAATGATTTTTAGGTCATTTTATGGAGCAATCTTGACGTGTGACATTTTGCTTCAATCTATTAATGAATGGATTTGTTTTTTCAGTTCCTATATCTCATTAACTGTGAATTGGTAATAAGTAATATCCATAAACTAGCTACAGTATCCCAATGAAATTCAATAGTCGCAGAAGTCTATACCTTGTAATATCTAATTTTATTTTGTATATATGTATTAAAATTGATAATTTTAGTTTAAATTACATTATTCGTAAAAGAAAAAAAAAACATTTTAAAATTTAAATCTGGAAAATGTCCAACGATTTTAAAAAATTTGACCGAATTATACAGTATTAACATATTGGCATATTTCATTTCTTATTGATTTTAATTTTTGAAATTCTTAATTAATAATGGTTGACTTATTAAAGCAAATATTTTTATTTGAATTACTTTACACACAAATAAATTCAAAATCAAGATTAATATTGTGATGTTTTCAATAGGTTGAAATAAGATCCATAATTGTCATCCAACTAAATAGATTGTATAACAATGCTGCTCACTTTTAAAAGAAAAACATATGTAACTACTGCTTCAACAGTAATTGACATAATGTTTACCAAATAAATAAATAAAACTCAATAAATATGTATGATAATTAATTCTATACCATTCCATAAAATATTATAGTATTTTATCAAAAAATAAATATTACTGTAGTCACTAATAAAACAATATCATAGATTAATTCATAATGTTTATCTATGCTTAATTTTGAAAAATGCATCGTAAATTAAACATGGAAAAAATAAAAATAATGTACTATTTGATTCCTTTTCTTGATAAAGACTCTTACAGTTTATTGCATGAAATTTATTACTGTATTGCAAATCTATCTATCAGAAAATTATTACGGTATAAAGATTTTAACGGGTTTTAAAATTAAAACATTCTCGAAATTATCAAGCTGTAAATAACTAGTATATTACTTTTATCTCGATTTCATAGTTTGTTTTAAAAACGTTGTCTTAATGAGTAATGAAATTCTTTTTAGTTTATGTAAAATTTTGGTTTAAATTTAATGTGTTTTGGATATAACAGAAAAGATATAAAATATATCTTAGTTGAATTTTCAGATGTTTTCCGGTGTAAACACATCTAAAAATAAAAAAAAACTAACTAAGTAAAAAACACTAACTATATGATCATGAAAATAATAGGTTAAAATATTTAAATTTATATAATTATATAAACAATAAGAAAAAATATTGCGATTTCGATCAATGAATAGTATGAGCTTAACTGACAAACTGGAAAGTATGTTAGATTTCATAAAGAAAAACAAATTGAACCTGCTGGATCGAAGTGAGCCTTATTATTTCAGAACATAAAGCAAATATTAAGACGTTTAAAAAAAATGTCGCCTAACTGTTAAACAATTCTTTCGGAATAACGATAAAACTGTGATGCAATTGTAAAATATTTCAATTACTAGACTATTTGTCGAGAAAATAATGTATAAAGTAAATTAACGATAAATGTCTATGCATTATTAGCAATATGGGAAATAGATCCGTGACATGTTTAATTAAATGAGAATCTTTTTAAACGATCTGTACATTAGTAGCATAATTTAATCATCATCATCATCATCATCAAAATTGCAATTTATTGATCGCATTATTAAAATTGCTAAAATTATTTTAAAATTTTTCTTGTGAATCAAATTTACTTTTTACATTTGTATTGAAAATAAAATACAACAGTACGTTTATCAGAAATAAAACACGAAAATACTTCTATTTCAGTGGTTCCCAAAGTGGGCGCTACCGCCCCCCTGTGGGCGATGAGTAAATCTAGGGGGCAAATAGGGGCGCTTGAGGTGAGATACTGAATGGTGACTTTAGGCGAATGTTGGGGTCACTGACAACCTTTCCCTTTCCTGTTAATACGGGTAAGAAGAAACATTGCATTTAGTGGTTTCCAGATTTTTAGAACAATGTTTTGTAAGGACACAAAGTGTGAGGTTCATAGAAAAGTTTTCCTAAAAATATTTTCAAGTCTCTCACAGAAGGAAAATTGGGTAAGAGGAGTTGGGGTACGATTGGGGGCGATGAATATAACATTATGGAACTAAGGAAGCAGTGGCTCGAAAAAGTTTGGGAATCACTGATCTATTTGAAAAAGTTAAAAATTAACGAATTATTCATTCATATAAAAGTTTTGTAATGTGCGGTTTAATCAAAACTATTAATATTACTAAAAAAAAAATAAACATAAAAGTGTTTATTTTGCACTTTATTCTCTTTTAAATACTTTAAAATAATAGAATAAGCGATGCTTTTTAACTTAGCCATATTATATTAAATTATAGCGATGCAGTGGCGTACCGTGGGTGTCATCCGCCCGGGGCGGAGGAAAATTTCGCTCCCCTTATTTAGGTATTTCAATTTAAAATACCAAAATTCAGTTTTGTCACAGAACAAGCAATGAAAAATTCGGTGGTAGTGCAGTGACCTATTTGAAATAGTTCTATTGGACATTAGTGGTGTATATGAACGCGAATGAATCGTACAAGCAAAAAAAAGGTCAACAGGTTTCGCAGGAATTCCTTGGACGAAAAAGTTATTAGTTTACCCTGCGAGCCGATTCCCGGACTGTCAGGACGATAGCACTATCGTAGGCGCGATGCAAGTATAGATTAGGATGTTTCAAATTTTTACAAGATATTATTATTATTTATTGAGAAATTTTGCCGCCCCTAAAATGTGCCGCCCGGGGCGGGCCGCCCCCACTATGGTACGCCACTGTAACGATGACTTAAATTTATATTTTTTAACTATTGAAGCAGTAATGTAATTCATAATATAAATTGAATTAGACAAAATTTATAATTAGAAACATATTTCTTATGCAATTAAAATAAGTCGGAATATATCTATTCTAGAGGCTATATATAAAGTACTTGGATTAAAATCGTCATGAACGTTTTCCGTCACAAAAGAAAAATGGAAACGACGGCGCCGGAATCAACAGTCACAAAATTTTTGTTAAGAGTAATCTATATTGAGAACAAATGGGCGAAGCCTGTGTGACAAGCGGAGTAGTAAAGTCTCCTAGTAACTTATAAATAGCGATTTTGCAATTGAATTTTGCGAAGCATAATAAATAGTAATAATAAATACATAATAATAACTACAATAATAATACTTTGATTTTGTTTATTTGGTTACGGCAATGCAACATCTGGGCGATCTGCCGAGGGATATGTCTCCCGGGAGACATTTTATGAGAAATTTAGGTTTACAAACGTGAAGGAAACCCAGAAAACTCCACGTAGCCAAGCCGCTGGCCAGGCGCGAACCCACGACCAAATATCAGTGTTTAGTGATTTTATCCACTCAATCACTGGTGGGCTGCTACAATAATAACACAAAATTATTTTCGTAAAATACTAAATGTAATTGTCTATTTTGAAAACAAGCTCAGAATATTTATCATAAGATAAATGTTTGCTGTAAGATAAGAATTTTCTTCAGAATACAATTTTAGAACAAGATAAATTTGAATATAATCTTAAATTCAAAGTTCAAGATGTCCTATTTAAATCGTAATCGTAATACAGACTTTTGAATAATTTAATTACTTTAGATCTTACTTTTATTATAAATTTTACAGNGTTTTTGTTAGAAAAAATGTAATACATTTTATTATTTTTTTTAATAAAACGAAGCTTTTAAATGAAATTTATTCCCAAACAGTAAATGTCTTCGTATCTTTGTCTTGCCCTTTCTTAACATCTCAGAAAACAAGACTTTACGACTGTGTCGACCTTTTATTTGAGGTTACTCACCTACAACTTCGATATGTAAAAATGTTAAAATAATTAATGAATATTATTATATTATATTATTGTCTTGGCATTTATATTTATTAATTATTTGTTAATAAATGCAAATTTATGTCTTTTTCTTTTGTAAAGTCCTCATTAATGAAATATTCTCAATTTATGGAAATAAATCATAAGTAAAATGATTTGAAAGACAATTTAATAAATTGTTAACTATATAATAAAAAATATGCAATGTCTTTCTTATTTAATTAGCTTAGATATTACAGCATGTTCGAATCATTAATATCTTATTGATAGTTAAGTCTAAATAAGTAATTTCCAAACCTATTTATTGAATTCATAAATAACATATAACACAAATGTTAAAATAAATTAAATTATTTGTTTTTCTTTCAATTACTTTTATTTGCCTCTTTTCACTGTTACTCTAATTTTTTGGTTGGATTTACTCTTAATCATCAACTTAGGAATCATCCAAGCGTTATTTCAAACAAGTCACGATGCAGTTACAAACATAGAAGATAGGTTTTACCAAATAAAAATCGATCATACGTACTAATTTTCATATAAAATTTATTGTAGAATTGATTTTCTTATAGTTAATTTCAAACAAGTCACGATGCAGTTACAAACATAGAAGATAGGTTTTACCAAATAAAAATCGATCATACGTACTAATTTGAATATAAAATTTATTGTAGAAAACTTTTTACTTGCAAAATCTTGATTTATTTTCCATACTGTTTCAACCATGAAATAATAGAAATTGTTTGAATATTAGATACTTCCACTATTGGAAGCATTGTTTAAAATCATTTATTGAGAATCTCCATCAGGAGCTTCGTTGTGACAGTTACGATTGCCTCTGTTTCGTGTGCCTCTGCATCCTGAAATCTGTTTCCTTTCAGTGGTAGTTTGAGAAAGAGCCAAAAGTCTGGGGAGAAGGCTTCTGAACCTGTGCAATACTGTGTTTTCAAAGAATGTCTGATGAGATACGATCAGTGGGCCGGAGCATTGTCATGATGAATGAACCAGTCAACAAACTGCAATAGCTCTTATAACAGCATCTCATAAATGACGTAGAACAGCCAAGTAGTACTCTTTTGTTATAGTTTGTCAATAAGGGGCGTACTCGTGATGAACTATTCCTTGGTGTTCGAAAAAAAACAGTCAGCGTGACCTTCATATGGCTTCGTGATTGCCGTGCCTTCTTTGGCCGTGGAGACTAGTCACTTTCCATTGGGGTGATTGTGTCTTTGTCTCAGAGTCATACTGTAGACCCAGGTCACATCTCTGGTTATAATTTTCATGAAATCAGGATCCGTTACGTATTGTCATTTTCACTTAATCATTAATGCGATGATAACAGCGTAAGCATGCAACTATCACAGCCGCCTGACAGTAACTCAGAGTAAGGATGGGCTGGCCAAAATTCACACATATGC